AGAATACGAATAAGACAAAGAAGAAGAAGAAGAAGAAGAAGAAGAAGACTAAGAAGAAGAAGAAGAAGAAGAAGAAGAAGAAGAACAAGAAGAACAACAAGAAGAAGAAGAAGAAGGAGAAGGAGAAGAAGAAGAAGAAGAAGAAGAAGAAGAAGGAAAAGAAGAAGAAGAAGAAGAAGAAGAAGAAGAAGAAGAAGAAGAAGAAGAAGAAGAAGAAGAAGAAGAAGAAGAAGAAGAAGAAGGATGATAATGAAGAAGAAGAACAAAAAAGAGGAGAAGTAGTAGTAGTTTAAGTTGAAATGAGCATACCTTCATTTTGTGCTTTTTGGGTCCTGTGTTCTTAGATAGAAAGTCGACCTCAAAAGGTGTGCAACTTCATCGAAGAGTTGCTTTTATTTGATTCGAAGTGATAATTAGCGGGATGTGAAGTTAACAAGAAAATACTTGATTAAAAAAACTCAGTAAGATATTTTTCAATCTAATTTTATTAGGCTTCAAATCATGTTGAGTTCTGTTATAACCATGAGTAATTTACTAGTCTGTCTATTTATGAATCACGATGTTGGTCCCTTTACAGATTAATCGTTCTTCAAGCTAATTTCAAACAAACGTTCCTCCAATGTATCACAAAATTTCTAGAAAGTATCTGCATTTTGCTAGAACTACTTTAAGAAGAAAAGCAGAAGCAGGCTTTGAATTCCAAGGAAATTTATACCTCCGCTATTTGGGGCCATCGGGAGAAATGCGTCGACTAGTTTGTAATGAGAATTTTGCTTTCAATCATAATTATAAAATACTTCTTATATAACAACCAAGGTGACTTTTGTTGACAGCACAAAACACGCACACTTGTGTATTACAAGGAATCCAAAAATAACTCAAACAAATGAACAAACAAAAAACAAACAAACAAATAAAACAAAAGAAAACAAATATGCAGAAACATAATATGCAGAACATTCAAAGATCGCGAATACTCGTTGCTTTGCTTTGGCACTTCTCTCTCATGGTCACGTTTTCCCTTGAGCTACTTCATTTTCCTTCAGGCTTAATGACCAAAATTAATTTAATCTACAATTCTTCGTTTTCAAGTTACGTCACAGCGGCCATCTTGGAGGAGCTTCACCAAAGGATTTCTCATTAGTATCTATTGTTCGTTCCTCCAACTTGGCCACTGGTCTTTTATCTTTTGAATCTCATGGGAATGTTTGAAAATAATCAATTTCTATACCATATGCATTCTTTGATACTTATTTTGAGATGATGAATTCTAATTCGTGATCTCAAAACAAGCTAATTTGCCCACAAGCTATAAGCAGAATATTTCTTGGCTCGATTGCGTGCTTGTTGTTATAAGCAATTTTCTCTTTTATATTTTGAGATACTGAAACATGCAAATATTTTAAATAACAAACTCTTTGTCGATAGCAAAAATCTTTTGATCTAAGCTAGAGGAAAGTATTTCATTTCCAGCAAAGAATATATTTTTCACAATGATATAATTCTGTACAAATTTTCAAACACAAAGTGTCGGCAGGTGGGAGGGTTGTCTTCAGTTCTCAGCGAGTTTCGAAACAAGCCAAATTGCCATTTCAAAAGATCGGTTTCTTGGTTTGGAGCCTTATAACTTTTGGGATTCGTGTCTGGAGAACGAAATCGTATCCCAGACGGGATTTCAAAGTGTTAAAAAAACCCTGTCTAATTAAACATGAAACAATTAATGATGTGTGGCCAAATTGACGAAAAAGGCGTGCAATTAACTCATTAACAAACACCTTCCCTTTAAATTCATATTAGTTGGGCTGTTAGACCTTTTTTTATTTGATATGGCTCATTTTAGGTTTATAGAAATTTTAAAGAAAACTGGAATTGGAATTCTTTTAAGAAGCAATCGTGACTTGCCTTAAGGACCTCCGTGGACATTGGACTCCGTGATGTCACTTCGATGATTTTTTTTGCGAAATACCCGATGACATACACTTGCAAAAAGGGATAAAAAAATGGAGATCACCGGCTTTATTTTATAGATAATTCTTGCACAAAATCGCCAAAATTGACATAGAAAAGCGGGCGAAAATGGGTGCATGTCGTCTGCCATGAAAAAAGTTCTCGAAAAATATATTATATTAATTAATCCAAAATTTTCCCCAAAAGCTGAGGTCGATAATTGTAAATATTATTTACGAGCCTTTGAAGCATTACATGTTGTGATTTTTGATTTCTTTGGGACTTGTCGTCCGTGTCAAGCCGCGACATTCGACGTCAAGAAGAGGTTTTATTTGCAGCTACAACTGCTATATTTCAGAAACCTCTGATGTCGTTTTTTCCACTTTCACATATGTTATATTTTTTCCAAGTAGCCTTCTTTTAAGATAAATAGAAATTGGGGTTACCTGTTTCGTTGTTAAGATATTTCGTCGCGAAATCTAAGATTTTGCCATCTTGCGAGAGACTTTTTTCTGACAATCTACAACTTTTTAGAGCATTTTGCCTCATTTATTTTTTAGCAGAAGTAAATCTCCCATTTTTTGAACATGAAGACATTTTGCATTCGAGTAGAAGTTCAGAAAAGTACGTACAAAACCTCACAAAAACATAACAAGAGCGGTCGCCATCTTTGTTTTGCGTGATGAAATTTCGTGAACACTTCCGGTTTTGACATGCGCAGAAAACGTGCAATGCCCTCGAACGTCCTTAACTGTTCCGGTTGTGCAAAGATTGAATAGCGCTATCCATGAAAAAAATCCTTACTAAGCGGATAAATCCGTTGGAAAAATCTAAGGTGTGGATAACATTATCTATTCTTCATACAACCGGAACCATCAGTGCTTTTTCGAGCAATTCTTTGAGTTCTCCAAGTTCGTGTACACGCCATAGCAATTCCCGCGGGTGGTAATCTTCTCTCCAATTCAATGTACAGCTCCAATAACGTCCCACGTACATTTGCTCTCAAAGTCAAGTGGTCACCAACAATCACCCTAGAATGAGTTGATACTTTCTTTCTTGCGCATTTGCACAGACGTTTGCCATTGAACGGACGACTAACGCAGGAAAAGGCCAGATTTGTCGTAGACTATACGAAATATTTGGAGAAAGATTCACTTGAAAGATTATAAGGAGCAAATGCATATTAAATTCTCTTATGTCAAAAAATAAGAGCATGGTGCAGCAAGGCAGAAGCATACAATCATGCTCAAGTCTAATGTGACAGGCTTCTGTTTTCACTAGCTAAATCCCAGCTAACTATGAACAACACGTTTAATCCAGCCTTTCAGGTTCTCCATGTTTGCATACACTCCATATCTATCCTTGCTGGCGCATCCTACTCCCCAGCTCACAACTCCAGCAAGCTCCCAAGCACCAGATGAAGCCATACAGGACAGCGGCCCACCACTATCACCCTCACATGCATCGTTAGCTCCTCCTTTCGCCTTGCCAGCACAAAGCATGCGTGAACTAATAGGGTGATCTTGATCTTTGAAGTTCTTCTCACAGTCTTTTTGAGAAATAAGTGGAACGATGGCCTGGGAAGAAAAGAAGATGTTCCTCAAAAAGAACTGAATTATCAGGTTGTATTAGATAGCATTAAACTCTTTTTTGAAATCAAGGGTATGTTTTAAATTGAAAGGCCATGGTCAACCAGCATTCACTGCGGTCGTGTTTTAAATATCCATTCGTAATAGTTCCGACAAATCAAACGTGTCATTCGTGCGCGCGGAATTGGCCAATCAGAATAGAGATGCATTCTTATTTTCAAAAACAAAAAGCTAGTAAAATACAAATGGCAGTTGACCCTGTCTTTTTCAAAGAAATAGACGAAGGATTACAGAAATATTTTATACAGCTGTACGTACCTGACGAAGTACCGAGGGTCCTGGCTCGGTCTCAAACAGATATCCCCAACCAGTAACATAACAATTGGTCCCTGGTGAAAAACGTTTTGTTGGAAGGCAAATAGGTCGGACCATGTCAGTGTATGTAATGTTTGTTTTTAGTTTCAGTAGTGCGACATCATAGTCAAATTTATGGTGCTTGTACTCGTTGTAACGTGGATGACAAATTATCTTCTTGATGGCGATTTTTTGCTCGTCACCGTCGGTATCCTTAAGGTTGTGTTCACCTGGTGATTGAGATATGTCACAAATTAGACCTCATATTTCTTTTATTATTACCATATCAAACAATTGGTTCGGAGAATCCATTCGTTTGTCACATATCAAACAATTGCCTAGCATTCGCGCGGGCTGTTTTTTGTGGGATCCCTTATTTTCAAGGATAGGAGGGAAAATAGGACAAAATTATAATGGCCGACATGTTAAAAAGCGATTTCTCTGCAAATTCTGTAAGTTTTAGCCATTTTAAAGCACTAAAATGTGGAAAAAACTTGAAAAAAACTTTCTAACGTACTTCCTTATAAGGTAAGATTACCATTGCTGGTATCATTATTTACTCAAATTGACGCCGCACACAGATGCGGCGTCTATTCGGGGGCGGCGTCTATTAATATTTTGAGCTTTAAGTGCGGCGTCTATTTGAGGGCGGCGTCTATTCGGGGGCGGCGTTTATTCGAGTAAATACGGTATTTCTAAAAGAAGATCAAAATTGACGCATTTCACTAGATACTAAAATTTTGTTATCATGCAAATTATTGCTATCATAATAACTTGTTATTCCCACTAGCATCCGACAACCTTTGCGAAGGTTTGTTTTGTTTTGCTTTGTTTCAAGAATATAATGATTTGTTGTTGAAAGTTGCTTTCTGATTGGTTCAAAATCAAAGATGGCGGAGCCAATCGCGCAAAGGCACCTGGATACATGTGGTCCTTTATGACCGTACTGAACTATAACAGTACATTTCTGCTCGCTAAGTAAACCTGTCTCGGTGCTTACCAATGGTGACTGTGTAATCCCGAGGATTTCTACTCTTAGAGAAACAATGAGCAGCAGTGACTATCCAATCTCGAGCGATGATGCTACCACCACAATAATTCAAATCAGATTTGTTCTTGTATTTCATAGTTATCTGCCAAGGCCATGCACCTTTTCTTGCTTTTTTTCCGCCTACAATTCTTGTGTTTCCTTTGCCTTTCGTCCCACACTTGAGTTCAGCTTTCATTGATTAAAAAATAAAGAGCAATATTATACAATTTTAATATTAGTAAAGTCGGTTAGTATTTTTTTTTTCGTTTTGGGGGCTTGCTGTGTCGCAACTGATTTTGATTCGCGACGCGTGAGAAGGCCAACATTCAGTCGACGCCGTTATATTAGCTCGTTCTATAAGCTGCAGCGAAGGAATTTCCATAGAAATGCGTTTGGAAGTGCATTGGTTGAGCTTAGTCCTCATCCTCGGGAACCCAGGGGTTATCTTCTGTCGTTCGTTCCTCACTCCCAGAAAAAATACCCCTGCGAACGAAGTCTGTTAGACCTTGTTCTCGATTCGAAATTCAAAATGGTAGCCGGTAAATTTCTGATTGGTCGAGTGATTCACTCGAACATTCTGATTGGTTGATTAACTTACTGGCCGCCATTTTGAATTTCGAATCGAGAACAAGGTCTAACAGACTTCGTGACCAGGGGTATTTTTTTCTGGGAATGAGGAACGAACGACAGAAGATAACCCCTGGGTTCCCGAGGATGCTTAGTCCTCTCTTTCGTTTAATTTTTTGAGTCGACCCGAAATGCATTATTGATCATTTTATCGACGTTGAAAAGAGGTTTTCGGTGTTTCAGAGACACTATGTCATCTCTGTACATTGACAAAACGTCAATGGAACGCAATTAAATACGTTTAGAATTGTTCTTCTTAACGCAGCTAACATGGACTTTAATGCCAGCAAAGCCTTTTCTCAATACGCCATCGGTCAACTGGACATACGGAGTGGTGGAAACTAGCGGTAAACTAGTGTGAGCTGCGTTGGTGTTTCTAAACAGTTGTGCAAAAAGATAAATTGAACACCGTAAAAATTAGTTGAGTAAAAATTAGTTGAAACAACTTATTGACATTTCGGACGTTAATCCTTCGCCTACCTTGCTCTTATTGGTCTACTTTCTTTGCTCCTCTCATTATATAATGTCTTACTTAGTCTATTTTCTCTCTTTACTTCGACGAAAGATAACTTCCGAAACATCAATAAGTTCTTTCATCTATTTTTTACGGTGTTATAATTTATCTTTTTACACACAACTATGACATATGGAGTGCACTAACTCTATTACAAAAGACAACGTGCCGGCGGCACTTATGATCTATGACACGACCTGCAATGGGACATGATAAAACTCGAGAGCATACCAGTGAAATGATTTGCTAAAGGGGAAGCATTAGACACAATTAAAGCAAGAATTTTGAATGATTTTTTTTTTGAAAACATGGCAAAAGTATGTTCATGGCTTATAAGGAATCTGCTCTTCTAAAATTGTGTTAATTATAAGTTAATGAGTAGTAGATTTAGACTAATTTGAAACCTAGGATTTGATTGACAGGTATATATGGAGTAATTTGCATAATACCCCCTAAGTACACCTTGAATATTAAAACTTTTTTGGCGATTCTTTCTTTACTTTTTCTTCTTTACAGTTTAAAAAACGATTTTTTTGGTTTATGAAACATCCAATTTGGCCAGTACAGTTTATTTCACGGTTTATGAAAACTACTCTTCTCTTTTTTATTGGATATTACAGGTTCAACTATTCATGAGCTGGTAATTATCCTGTGAAATAAGACTAGAAGGAAGTGAACGAAGTTCCAGATTTGTAGTCCGATTCATTATATCCGTCAACTTACCTTCTACGCGGAATAAAACCACTAAAATCACCAAAAATACTGACAAGTTGTTCATCCCATCAAATCGTGAACGCAGTAGATTGATCTAAATTAAATAAGTATTATTTCAGATAATTATATTTCTCAACTGGTATCTCTCTCTATATATTGGATGTAAATAAAAGTTATTTTAAACATAATTTGCTTTCATGGATAATTATATGATAAACAGAATAGGACATGGTCACTTGGAGATAGGAATTTTAACTTCACGTGTTTAAAATCTCCCTACGCTAAGCTCACTCGTGAGAGGTCGATCTATTCAACACTCGGAGATAAAATCCGTATCTCCGACAACCATGTATATCGTCTACATAATTTTATTTTAATGATACAACAATGTCTCTCTAATCTGTAAATAGTTTGATATACACTAGCCAGCGCAGGTTAAAATTATTCTACAGCATTACATTTAACAAAGAGAGATACCAAAACAGTTTGATCACATACATGTAGGTTACTCAAAATAAATAAGAAATATAAGGAAATAAGAGTAAATAAGCTTAAACCAGCTCATCGAATCGATATATAATAATTTGAAATTCAGTAACGTGACAATTTTTGGCGTAATGTGTTGTAAACCTCTTACTTCAGTTCTTACTTTAAAGATGGGAACGGACCACAAGTACTAAAAACCAGAAATACATTCTCTCTCTTTGGGACTCAGCTTACAAGCCAAAGTCCAGGACCCAAAAACTCCTGGCTTTCCTGAAATGAATGTGTAGTTCGGATGACTCTCCTCAAACTCGTTCCCAGGAGCGAAGAGAAAACAGCTTTGGAACCAGGCTTTTACATGAATTCATTTGAAAACCAAGTTCGCCTCGGAACGTTTTGCTATGAATACATCCGGCTGATATTCATTATCTGAAAACAGAATACGTTCTAAGTATAATAAATAAATCGACTCTGACACAGGGCAAAACACAAAACTCAAAAATTTCAAAAAAACATCTTCCGCGTGCCTTGCGGAGTCTGTCAGCTTCTGTCGTCTAGCCAACGAGACGCTACATAAAAAAAACTTCCATTTAACAATTAGACCCCGAGGTCGAGTGGACTACGAGCTAATAGCCCATGAGGCCGAGTCCGCGAGGCCGAATGGGCCATTAGCTCGTAGTCCACGAGGCCAAGAGGTCTAATTGTTTTAGTATAAACATACTAATCGGTCAAATAATGAAAACAAATTGAAATATCCTTAAACTAATTTATAATTTATAATTTATTTATTTTGATTTTCCCGCGAGTGGTCTATCACAAATTAGACCATTAGTAGAGTAGCCAATCACTGCGCAGTATGAGTGATATATCATTAGTATGTTTATACTAATTAAGACTAACCGTCGAGCAAAAGAATTGTTGAGTCATGAAATAATATATTAGTCAACAGTAATGCAGAGACCAGCAGATAATTGTTGCATCCGAAGACAGAGATTATTGCTTAGTATATACGTGGGCGGTGCAGACGGAGGCGAGGCTGAGTGGGTCTTTAGGCCCAACAAAAATAATAGTCTGATGTTTTTCTTTTATTCTTGAGAATAAAATGTAAAAAAAAACTCAAACGCATATAAAAGTCAAAAATCAGTGACAAGAGAAGAAATTGTGTTTTCTGTGGTGTAAACAGGCTACAACACAGAGCCTGTCACTATGTGGAAATGCTGAAAAACGATATAATTTTTTAGCATCAATAAAGCTATCAGTGTGCATTTTGGTATTCCATTTGTCTGTGTAAATAAGCTGAGTAATAGGGGTGGTTGGATAGGAAATTGCTTAGCTCTCTAATCAAAAAACTGCTCCGCAGTCCCTGATGTCGAGTCGCAATTGAATTGGACAAGTGTCCGAAAACAGGCCGTGACATAAATGCAAGGTGTAGCACGTTGCCTTTTATAAATTATTTAACCAGTTAATAAGCTTCAGGGCAGAAATTAAGGCCCTAGAGAAAATTTTACAAGGCAGCCATCGAAAATAGTTAAAGTGCAACTGAATCCTTTTACAAAAACATTTTTAACAGAAGGCAAATGTGATGCTAATCATTGACTTGAGGAAAAAAAAATATTTGAATTTTATTTTCTTAGTTAACGACATTTGAAAATTGAAAATGCTAATGAAGTGACGTCAACCAAGGAATTGGACTGGAGGTTTTTCATTGTTTGCGATATCTTTTGTTCGGTTGAAATGGTCAAATCATCAATAACAGTGATATTCAAGAAATGGAAATTTCATCTCCGATATAAAAAAACAGTAATGTATTTTTTTTCGTGATTTTGCATATTAAATCACTCCTTAGTAGACGTCACTTAATATGCATTTCCCATTTCCAAATATTTCTAAATCAGAAGATATAAATTTGAATGCTTTTCTCTTTTGCAGAGGTGCTTAGCAGCATGTGCTCTTTCGAATGAAATGACTTTCTAGCAGTGTTCAGTTGCACTTTAATTTAAGTAATGTTTCACCTAATAATACTTGTGCTTTATGTTCATTTTGGTTCCCCTGGCCGAATGGATTCTTACCAGTGTTACTGGATGTGGTTAAAATTCAATTAAAAGCTTGAGTCTTTTCACAGCAAGGTTAACTTAGAGGTTGAAATATACTAATTTACTAATGTAGAATAGAATAATTCCTAAATATATTTGGATAACCCTATGATTTATTATGTAGATCACGGTACTTTACCTCCTGCAGGCTCCACTGTTAAACCCCATTGTATTCAACGCGTTATTGATTAACGCTCTTCAATCTTGAAGCAGGAACTGAGAAGAATTTCGCGTGAGCATTTTTGCACGCGCACTCAGGAATAGTCAAACGAGATGCTTATTTTTCCAGGTCGAATTCTCGCCCTACCTGCGTTCGAAATTTCTACGTTCAAAATAAATCTATTGGTATATCTACTGGTTCAAATATCAAACGCGTTCTCCGAAGGATTTTTTATTGTTTATTCAATTAATCAAATGGAAGGATGGGTACACTGCCAGCAAAGAAAAATTTCCAGCCCCTTCTGCTCGCAGTGTAATGGATGGGAGGGACAGAGCAGACGAAGTGGACCATGATTACCTTAGAAAGGAGGACCAAGAACCAAGAAGGACAGAAATATACAGTTGAAGCAGGATTTTCATTTTTTTTATTCATTTTATTTATGTTATTGGTTTTTTTTTTATACCTTGAATAGGAACATAGTGTCATGGCTGAGAAAAAAATAAAGGGGATGCTTCCGGCAAAGCAACACGTCTTACCATTTCAAAATGGTTTAATAATTCACAATCAAATGCATTAAAGGATGGGAGGAACAGAGCAGTGGACCATGACAGAGTTACCAAAGAACGGCCAAGACCCAGAACCACAAAAATGACCAATTTTAGTGTGATTTTCATTTTTTGATTTTTCTCATTCTTTGACCTTGAATGGGAACATTAACCATCGAAGTTAACTATAGGGAGGCTGGCCTCTGCGACCTTTTGAAAGTCGTGAAATATCTAACTTCATTGAACTGGTCGCCAGAGTAGATCAAAGTGACTGCATATCAAATAAAATGTATATGAGCAATCATTGATACATGATGTAAAAACTCAATATACTAAAGTTCTTTTTCGAAAAAAAAAACAAAGCAAGCTCGTCTTGTTACTTTAACTGATTTCAATAATTCATAATCAAATGCATTAAGGATGGGAGGGACAGAGCAGCGGACCATGAAGCAATTATCATAAAAAGAAAGAAGGACACAGAAGGACAAAAATGACTAATTTTAGCTGGATTTCCATTTTCCATTTTTTTCTTTTATTCATTGTATTCTTTGACCTTGAATGGGAACACGGAGTCAAGGCTGAAAAAAGAGTGGGGTCGATTCCAGCAAAGCAAACACGGCTCATAATTTTAACTTGTTTAATAATTCATATCAAATTGCAAGATGGGAGGAACAGAGGCAATGACCATGACGGAATAACCAAAAAAGCCCAAGACCCAAAACGACAAAAATGACCATTTGAATCTAGATTTTCAGCTTTTTTATTCATTTTATTTCAGTTTTGAATGCAAACGGAGTAGTCATGACTGAAAAAGTGCAGAGGTGGCGCTCCCAACAAAGCAAACACGGACTCATCTCTTTAACTGGTTAAATAATTCATGACAGGCTTAATGAAACACAACGATGTTAATGGCACGATCTGCCTTTACACTATATAAATCATTGACAAGCTGTAGATACAGTCAGATTCAGCTGATCTCGTCGTGTGCTAAGGTAAGTAAGTCAATTTTTTTGGTCACTAGTTTTTACATTTAGATATGAAAGCAAAAACGTACATGCTGTAAGTCATATAGACTCTAATAATGTTTTTTGTGCTAATAAATACTAGTGTGCATAAATACAGCATTAAAAAAAGTGTTAACCAAATCGTGCTAAATTGACAGAGTTTGATATTTCACATTCATTGGATTTAAACGCATCCTTTTCCAATGTAGTAGAATAGAAAGAAAAAAGAAATAAATAAAAATATCATCCATTAAAATGTGAAGGAACATTTTTTCATGAACTAAGCGTTTCTTCATTAGCCATAGCAAATTTTATATGTTCTGTGTACTAGAAATGGGGAGTGTTCGGACCATCATAATAGCCATACGCTCCTCCCAAAACTATTAGTAGGCGGAACACACGACAATAGCTAGCAATGACTGAATAAACGTTTATAAATGAAGAGTTTTGTGAACTACTAAACTTAAAAGGTATTTTCATTTAAATCATTTAGCAACTGCATTAACAAGCAAGAGATTTCACAAGATGAAGTTTTTAGTAACTTTAATGTTTGCGGGGGCACTGTGCATGTGCTTCGCCGAAGGTAAGAAGGCGAAAACACATTGATGAACCGCAAAATTTCATTGATGAACCGCAAACCATGAAATCCATGTTGAACCTGTATTCATTTTGTATTTAAAATATTACTTGATCTATCACAAATCCAGCATTCGAATTTAGACAAAAAAAAAATTAAAAAAACAAACAAACAAAAGAACCATGATCAATTATTTATTGTCAGTCAAAATATTGCAAGACAAAAGTCGTTGAGAAAGATAACCGAATTTTGGGAATAAGTAAGATGTAAATTAAGCGTCATTTTCATTGGAAATGCTTACATTCAGGTATTGGCGAACACCGAAAGTCCAATTTGCTCTTAAGATTTGATCTAACAATTCCCCCTCCCCCCCCCCCCCCCAAAAAAAACAAAAAAACAAACACATTGAAGGGTTCAAGCACGAGAAAAATATTGAATTTATATACAGTCGTAAAAGAACGGAGCTTTAGTTCAGAATAGCAGCGAACGCATGATTAGTTTTAACGTTTGTAGCTCGGATTAAATGTAAATGTAAATCTTTTAAGATTAATGATGTTAAAACATCGTTTTAATGAACTACAGAGAAAATCGAGTGTGGAACCAAAGGTAAAGGAAACGAAAGAATTATAAGCGGAGAAGATGCTGAGGAAGGCGCATGGCCGTGGCAGGTATCGATACAACTCAAAAGTAATAATCATCATTTTTGTGGTGGCAGCATCATCAAACCTGACTGGATAGTCACTGCTGCTCATTGTTTCCAATCAAATCCCAATACTGCTGATTACAAAGTCATTGCCGGTAAGCTATGTGAATAGGAGTCATTTTTTTACACTCACGTATGCAACTGAGTCCCAGCAATTACAAATGTCATCTCGCCTCCAAATGATTAGATTCCAATAGCCGTGGTTAGTCAAAGACCAATTGCACTTTGAGATTACATTTGTTATATAGACGTTCATCAAAATAATACTTTTTCATAGATCGAGAGGAGTAATGATTACAGCGTTAAGTGTACTCCTTATAAAATTTTGTTTCACTGAATATACTACTATAAACCCGCACTATCTCCCTATCGCAGGGTCTGAATGGGGTTAACCGACTAGCAACAAATGGACAAGATAACTACTGACTAGCGACAAATTTGAACCAAATTTATTGAATACCGACATTAACAAATTTACTGACCGGCGACATTTTCCAATATTCAAAGATGTTAGCTCCGTGAATACAAGCTTTTTTTTATTTTTCAAGCAACTACATTCGAAATTTTCCGCGGAAAAAATAAATTTTGGCTTCGGATTGGCTTCTTGAAGTTGTGATGAGCCACTCTATAACTTTAAGGGCATCCAATTGACCAATCAAGACTTGAGGATTCAATTGTTGGCATTTTAGAAAGAATTCTGTTGGTATAAAGCACCGTTTTAGATGTATTTACACTTAATGTTTATCAACTTTTTTCAAATAACCGACTACCGACAAATGCCTAGAATTTTAACTGACTATAGCGACAAATGCTTGAAATTTTAAGTGACTACCGACATTGAGACCTCCCCATTAAGACACTGCTATCAGGATCGTGCAGAACTTTCAAAACATTACTCGTGACTATTAATTCCAAATAGTACTCAATGTCGTGCGATTTCCTATGCTAATTGGGATTATGTTAGTGGTCCTAACTAATTACGAATATAATACAAACAAGCTCTCTGTGTATTGCACTAGAGTGCAAACCCTAAAAGAATTAAAAGTATTGACCAATACAAGTAGCGCTAAATGCATAGGCTGCCCAACTATTGCTTGGGAAAAAGGAAAGAATGAGCTGCTAACGTACGATTCTATAATATCGACGCGCTGGCGTTGTAATTTGTTGGTCACCAGTCGTTTAAAGTCATGATCCCGTTTCCTCCTATTTTCCAAAAAAAAAAAAAAAAAAAAATGGCGATTTTCTTTCAAATAACAATACATTCGCATATTTACTAACTACCTCATGACTTTAAGTGTGCAAAGCAAAACAAAGTCATGCGCATAGAGTGAGATCATTAAAACCGTGAAACAAAATTTGACTATTAAGGTAAAAAAAAATAAAAATAAAATAAACACAAAAGAAAACAATGCAATTCATAGCACACGTCAATGTTATGTGCTAGATGTTTCCTAGTCTAGTCCGCGTACCAAACGCTCGACCTATTGTTCTCTTCCCGATGTTCAATGCTCGATTAGTGGTAATCCTAGTTTAGCTCTTTAACGCTATTGAGTTAACATTAATTGGTCTTTGAACAACGGGGGAGAACAAAATGCCGTTCATTGGTACGGTTCCTACTGAGCAGAATCATTATCTCAACCATCAGGTGAGCTTAACCTGAAGAAAAAGGAAGGTGACGAACAAGTAATGGACATCGAGAAGATCATTGAACATCCAAAGTACGACGAATCAAAAAGACCTAAATATGATTATGACATCAAACTACTGAAACTGAAAACCAAAATTCAATTCAATGACAAGGTCCGACCTATTTGCCTTCCAACAAAGCGCTTTAAGGATGGAGGAAATTGTTATGCTACTGGTTGGGGATACACTAAGGACTTTAAGGGAAACAAAAATCTGAAGGCAAGCACTACTCTTCAACAGGTAAATATTAATTGTTTTATGATTTCCACGGGCAGATATTTCCTTAGAAGAATAAAGAGTTCGGTAAACGCTTTACGGCGAGGTTAGAGTAAGAAATACTTCGCAGTACAGTGCTTCAATCATCAAACACTAAAATCCTTATTTTCCAGCTCAAAATTCCCCTGGTTTCTGATAAGACGTGCAAATACGCTTTCAGTTCAATGACCTCGCGCATGATCTGTGGTGGGTATAAGGACAAAGGAAAAGGCATATGTAAGGGTGATAGTGGTGGACCGCTGGCCTGTAAGAACAAATCTGGTATCTGGGACCTGGCTGGAGCAATGAGCTTTGTACTAGGAAGTTGCGCTCAGCAGAATACATATGACTTTTTTACCAACATCCATGAACTCAAAGGATGGATCGAAGATCAAGTCAACAAAAATTAGTATTCTTACTCCAAAGAAACAAATATAATGAATGAAAGAATAAACTGTTGAGCATTATTTGTGTTGTTTGCTACAAGATAGTTTGCGTAGCTTTTTTAAAACTCATTGATTCAGGTCTTTATTTTCGATTATATTTCCCCTATACACTTCAAACATTCATTCATTAATCAAAACATGAACATTTGGTCAGCACAATTTCGCCCACATGTTTGTTGCTACAAAATCATGGCCAGAAATTCCGGACATTTGAGCCCGCGACGAGGCAACGGGTTCTCCCACCAAAATAGAGCTTTCTACAAGTTTCCTTGAACTTTTGAAGATCAAATTTTCTCTTGTGCAACGATCCTTTATCTTAATACAATACTGGGTTAATATCGAAACGTTCAAAACATCGACAAACGAGTATTGGGATAGCACGACCTGATCCTTGAGTTCATTTAAGGGGAGCAAGGATGGCCGAGCGGTTAAAACGCCAGTCTATCACCGCTGTGGTCCTGATTCGATTCCCGGCCCGGGAATATATGTGATTTGAGTTTGTAGGCTGGTTCTCTTCCTTGCTCCGAGGGTTTTCCTCCCTCAGTCAAAAACTAGCTGTGAGGAGTGTCGTGTAGTAAAATAATGAATGTTGAGGTAGTGAGTATGAGTGAATATATAGAGGGCCACAAGTTTATTAGTCTAGAGCCTATTACGTGCTACCCTCTCAAAATAAAAGACTTTATTTATTTTATTTATTTATTAGTGGCTTGTGAGGTGCTCGTTTGGAATGTTCATAGTGTAAATAATATTATTTGCTGGAACACACGTTTGCTTCAGGTATTTTAAACAATGATCATCAGTTGATATTGTTATCTTTTGTTTATACTTGTGTATTTCTAAGGAATTTAAAAGGTCTGACATTGTTTACAC